CAAGCTCTCTTTGCTGCCGATCACACTGACAAGTTTAAGACCAGAGTCGCTGGAGTTTTTCTACAAAGGATCAGACAACAAATCTTTTGTATTTGGGGTAGGACTTGAAGATAAACTATGGGATGCTCAGATAAATCTAAATTTCAGATTTATAAAGGAGATCTCTTTTAGGAAAAGCATCTTTCGAAGGTGGCCTGGAGCGCTGCAGGCTCTTTGCTGCTGTCCATGCTCAACTGTGTATTCTATAGTTTTATTTGCTGACTTTGGCAAATTATTTTTATTTGCTGAATATGGGAAACCTATTTTCGGCTACATGTAGTCTAAATCACATGGTCTCCTTTGTTTTTTGTTTATAATCCTTTAAAAAAAAAAGCACTCCCGGCTTAAAGGTGAACACGCAGACTGGGTTTGACCCAGAGGGACCAGCACAGGGCTGTGGTGCCTAGTGAGGACCTAAGCGGAAGGTACCAGGGTCGCAAGGGCTCCTCATAGGCAAGACGTCTCCACTGGACTCAGATCCCTGCCTTGCCCCATCTGGGTCTCAGATGATTGGCACCTGGCAGGGGACAGGAAGAGCGATAAGGGTAGGGTGAGTGATGCTTGGCCTCAGGGGCCCTGATTTTTACCTCCACAAGAGAATCACAGAGGACAGGAGGCTATCAGGGTGCCTGGAGGGCTTTGCAGGTGGCTTTAAAAACACCTGAATGTGAACAAAGTGGGGCAAAGAACGGGTGACTCAAATGCTCCTTGGCAACCCCTGGAGCAAGGGGCTGAGCAGTCACCAGGCATGGCCACCCTGCCTGCCTCAAGGGCACCTGGGCTTATGGGGTAGGGCAGAGGCCTTCACAGGCCACATTGACAGCTACCTGGACCACTGTACTGTGAACCCAGGTTCCTGACGGTGGCAGGGGCCAGGGCCTCACCTCCATACCTTTGCTCATGGAGGGCCTCCGGCCAAGTTCTGTCCAAGCTGACCAACTGCTTGGCTTCAAGCTCAGCCAAGTCATCACCTCCTTCTAGAAGCTTCTTAGACTCTTCCTACACCCTATTCTGTGTTCCACTAACACTTTTTCCTTTCACTTGTCACAAACTCTCTTTGCTGCCGATCACACTGACAAGTTTAAGACCAGAGTAGCTGGAGTTTTTCTACAAAGGATCAGACAACAAATCTTTTGGATTTGGGGTAGGACTTGAAGATAAACTATGGGATGCTCAGATAAATCTAAATTTCAGATTTATAAAGGAGATCTCTTTAGTAAAAGCATCTTTTGAAGGTGGCCTGGAGCGTCGCAGGCTCTTTGCTGCTGTCAATGCTCAACTGTGTTTCTCTGGTGTCTCCTGAACGCATAGTGAGAGAGACATGAGCTGAACCATGAGAATGGATAACAGTAACAGCCTAAGGCTAGTTCCCTACAGCAAAAAGCTTGGTTCTATGGGAACAAATGACCAAGAAACCAGACCTGACAGGGCAGCGGGGAGGTCAAGGAGGGCTTCCTGGAGGGGGTGATGGGTCAAGATCTGAAATAGAGGCAGAAATTACTTCTCTGGGCCTCAGTTTCTCCACCTCTAAAGCAGAGAGGCCTTGTGCTTTTCCTAGAGACAACTTGGAGTCAAGAACAGATGGATGGACAAGGTGCAGAGAAAGCACTATGTGGAAATGGCTGTCAGCTTTGAGTTTTTTCACTTGTTATGGGCAAGACAGGGAGGAGGGGAGAGCTAGGAGGGGCTGGAGCAGGGCCAGTGGTGGCGGTGAGGATGGGAGGACTTGGGGAAGTTCAAGGCACAGACTGGGGGATGAAGGGGAAGGGGCGGTGCCAACCTGCCAGACCTGGCTGTTTCCATGGGTGGCTCAGTGTTCCTTTCCCTCTGAATCCTGTCCTCTCCCTCCCCGCACCCTGAGCTGCTCACAGGTGTCCTTCCTTCTGCCTGACCCACAGGATTCCCACTTCCTCATACAGTTCCTCCACTTGACCTCCTCCCACTCCAATCTGTCCCCAGCTCTGGATGAATTCCTGAGCCACAACCACCTCCTCATTCTTCTCCGAGGCCCCCACCTCAAGTTGATGCCCCCCCCCCCCCTCCAAACCCCTATCGACAGGCCTCCAATGCATGGTTATGCACACCAGGCTCTGGAACCAGACTTCCAGAATTCCAACCCCAGCTCTTGCAGGCATGGCCTCGGCTAACCCATAACTCATGTCCTTTCCCTTGGCCTCACCTTCGCCACCAGTGAAATGGGCAATATTAGTTTCTGTGTCAGAGGCATAAGAGGATCAGCTGACCCCCCTTATCCAACTGTTCTATATCTGCAGATTCAACAAACTGGTATTGAAAATATTTTTAAAAGTTATTTTTCTCAACTTATTCCCTAAATAACAGAGCATAACAATTGTTCATATAGCACTTGCATTGCATTAGGTATTATAAGGTCCTGTAAGATACCTAGGGAGATTTGGGACAGGCCTAGGTTATATGTAAATATTCTACCCTTTTATGTAAGGGACTTGAGCATACAAGGATTTGGGCACTGCAGGGGTCCTGGAACCTACCTCCCAGGATAGGAGAGGTCACAGGACCTTTTAAGCATTGAAAGCAATAGCTGCTGCATAGTTAAATGTCCGTACAGTTGTTTTAGTAGCACCACCCAGCACCAACCTCTACAGTGCTCACTGTTTCTGGCCCATGCTCAGGGACATGATTTCTTCAACTCTTCATGGTAACTCAATGAGATGGGTACACCCCCTTTTTATAGATGAGGAATCTGAGTCATGATCAGATGAAATGACTTGCCACAGAATACTCAGCGTGAAATGCCAGGGTGGGAATTCAAACCCTGGCTTATCTGTCCCACACCAAGCCTGAAACACAGTAGGTGCACTTATTACTCATTCAATAGATCCCTATGGGTGCTCCATAGGAGTGGGTGCTTCCCATGCAAGTCCAAAGATTCCCAGCAACTATGCAACCTAGGTGTCACTGTTACCATTCCCAAGTTCCCTAAGAGGCTGCTGACCTGGGGAGGCAAGACCCACTGGGCCTGTGAGGAGACTGCACTTTGCATCCGTTGGAGCCCCAGGTTGCTCTGTCTAGGTGGCCAGTGCACCTGCTCCCTCAGCTCACTGCAGCTGAACGTCATGGTCATGGCCAATTCCCTGCTCCCAGAGCCAGGGCCCAGCAGCACCTGCCACTTCTGCCCTAGGCCAACAATTTTCACAGTCAAGCTCTCCCAGCACACCTGGCACTTCCCACCTCTCTCCAGCCCCAAGCAAGACCTCCAAAGAGCACAGTCCTAACAAAGACAAATCTCCACCTTTCAATGCTTATTACTAAGCGAAGAGGCTGATCTGCAAAGGCTGCAGATGACATGATCCAACCGGATGACATTTGGGAAAGGAGAAGGCTAAAGAGACAGGGCAGAGATCAGGGGTCACCAGGGGCTGGAAGGGGATAAGATGAGCAGGGGGAGCATCAGGGCATGTGGGCAGTGGAAATGCCGTGCGAGAGGGCAAAGGTGGAACAGGTCAGTATACAACCGCCCAAGCCCACAGAATGTGCATCAGCAAGAGTGAAGACTGAGGTAAGCCACAGCCTCCAAGTGACAATGACGTGTGTTCCTGAATTGTAACAAATGTGCCTCTCTGGTGGGCACTGACGGCAGAGGAGACTGTGCACATATAGGGAGGGGGACACTGGGGAAATCCCTGTACCTTCCCCTCCATTCTGCTGTCAACCAAAAACTGCTCTACAAAATTGTCCATTAAAAAAGAAAAAGAGAGCCAGGCAGGGTGGCCCATGCCTACAATCCTAGTGGCTGGGTGTCTGAGGCAGGAGGACCAAGAGTTCAAAGCCAGCCTCAGCAACTTAGTGAAGCCCTAAGTAACTCAGCGAGACCTGGTCTGTAAATAAAATAAAGAAAAAAATAATCTGGGGATGTGGCTCAGTAATTCAGCACCCCTGGATTCAATCCCCAGGACCAAAGAAAGAAAAGAAAAAGAAGGAGGAAAAAGAGGAGGAAGTGTGCTTTGTCTGCACGGGGGTGGGGGAGGCTGAGGGCAGGCAGCCAGAGCTCAGGGCGAACAGATCCAGCGCCTATTTCCAAACCTGCCTCTCCACACCTCAGCACAGCATGGCTTGCAAGGGGCTTTGGGGGTCTTTGCAGAGATAGTGCCTGATGGTAACAGCTCAGAAGCTTCCCTGCCACCTCCCCAGGAGGCCATGGGGGAAGACGCAGGGTCAGGAGGGCCCATCTCTCTGTCTGTTCTTGACCTGTCCCTACCTCCCTGCACCTCACTCCTGCTGCCTTACTTTCCCTAAAGTCTGCCAGCTGCTTGCTGCCTGAGCACCTTTGCACTGCCCTTTCCACTTCTTGGCCAAGCAGCTCCTGTCCATCAATAAGCTCTCAGCTCCCAGGACACCTCCTCTGAGAAGCCCATTCTGACTGCCACCCAGGAACACCCTGACCCTCTCTCCCCCCTTTCTGTCTCTTCAACCATTTCTGAATTCATCCTATTTCTTCATCAGTTTGCTTGTCCTCTCTCAGACCCTCCTTCTAGACCATGGGCTCCAGGAGGACAGGGGCCTTCCCTGTGCTCACTGTGGTCTCCCCAGCTCCCCCAGGATTACAGGAGCTTGGAGGATGCTGGTGAGTGACCATATTCATTGCAGGGGGGAATGCTCGCCCTCCACCCTTCCTGCCACTCCACACAGCACAGGTAATGACAGCCGAGCCAGGGCTGGAGGGCATCCTGCAGCCCCAGAACAGGTGACAGCAGGGAGGGGACATGGGGATGAAAAGGACAAAGCAGTGCCCTGGGTCGTCAGAGTGCAACAAAAGTCCTCCCTCCAGCTCCTCCCCGCTGAACCTGCCCTCAAGGTGGGTGTTGGGACGTAAGGAGAAGCAAAGGCCTCTGCGCTAGCTCCAGCCCGGCTCTGGTTAATGGTTCACTGTCTTGCTATCAACAGGTGTCGGGAACTGTCCCAACAGTGTGAGGACCGGTCACCTTGCCAAGAACCAGGAGGGTGTTCAGGGCCTGGGGACGAGGCTCCTACATCCATGTCTCCACTTGTGGTCCTGTCCAGTCCTTCAGACAGCCCTCCAAGGAGGCTCCCCTGGTGCTCACCTGGGGGCATCATGGCATAAGAGTCCATAAGGCTGACCCCCCCCCCCCGCCCATGCACAGACAGTCACCCATGGAGACTGTGGAGCTGTGACTGTGATCCCCATCTCCACGCCATCTCCCCCCACTCCCAGACACTAGCCAGCACGTCCCAGGCTCTGGCTCCAGACACCCCAGAACGACCAGCTTCCTCATGTTCACCCACTGCTCCTGGCGGGGCTCCCCTGGCAACACGCCACATCTCCCCTCATCCAGGGGCTCAGGACAACTCCACGGCAGGGCCAGGAGGCTCCCCGCAAAGAGCTTGTCCCTTTGGACATCAAGAAATACCCCTTGCATTCAACATATAGCACAGCTCTGGGGCCTGCAGCACCCCCACCCAGGGCTTACCCAGCTGAGCAAGCTCATGCTCTGAGAGCAACTGCAAAGTCATCTGTGAGCACAGGGCAGAAACTGACCCCCTGCAGCTGAGTCCATCTTGCTCCCACTGGAGTGATCGAAGCAGTCCTTCCTGCATACAGATGGCACCACTAGAACAGGTCAGCAACACTGCTGCACAAGGGAAAAGAGACTGTCATCCCAGAGGTTCAGGTGCTACTAAATGGGCAGGACCACAATTTGAACCCAGGACTATCTGATTCCAAAGTCTGGCCCTTTGCCAACTCCAACTCACACTCCCAGCATAGGTCATAACCACCTATGGGCTGTTGGCTGCAGCTGCAGAGCAAGGTAAAGCAGGGTTTGCAGCCAGACCCTTGGGTGAACCACTCACCATCTCTGGGACCTTTGGAAAGTCACCTGTCATCTCTGTGCCCCAATTTCCTAATCCCCAAGAGAAGGTGTTTTATTCACTGCACAGAGCATGGGGGTAGTTAAATGAGATTGTCCACAATCTCCGTTTCTGATGTTTTTTCTTTGTTTGTTTGTTTTTTAAGCCTTTATTCTCTTAAAATATTTTTAGCTGAGCCCTGGGTTTTCTGGAGGGGAGCAGGACTCCCAAGGCCTTATCAGCTACTATGTTTTGTTACATCTTAAATGCAGACTTGGCAAATTCTAAGTAGAGGAAACAGACAGGGCCTGGTCACAGAGGGTGGCGCTGGCCAATCAGATGAGCTGAGATTCTCAGACTCCTGCAGCTCTAGAACCCTCTCTGCTTAGAAAGCAGGAACAAGGGGCTGTGAGCAGGGATCTCCTAGGAGTCACATAGTTGTTAGGAACACAGGCCTAGGAACAAGGATTCAGTCCATGTCCTGCCACAACAGGGTTCTGCACCCTTAGCAACTGAAGGCCTGAGAGGTGACAAAAGTGCCCTTTAGTACTTGCTAACCTATGATTAAATGTTCCCCCCAAGCTCCTATAGCACCCCATGAGGCTGCTGCAGGGACACCCAACACCCAACGGCACAGGAGACACAAGGAAGCAAGACAGCCAGGCCCTTCTTGCCACCCTCACCACTGAGAACCAGAGCATCAAGTCTGCCACAGGTGCCCAGGACTATCTGAAACTCCCAGGAGCTGCACTGCCAGAGGCCTGAAAAAGCCTCAAAATGCATTACGTGGACAAAACTGCATTGCTCATGAGAAGTCCTGCCCCCATGAGCCTGCACACACAGGCTCATTTAAGTCAATCCAACAGGACTCAGGGACCCAGAAATGTCCGTCTTGGACGTTCTGGACCCATCCAACGGCCAAACCTTCTGCAGCGCCTCCTTTGCATGGAAGGGAATAAAGGCTGGGCCTGCAGTTCACAGCCCAGAGTCAAAATTCTACAAAGAACAGGCAGAAGTTTCCTCTCTGGCCTGACACCCTGGGGACCGTGCTTCCTTCCACTGGTACTTGCATGTTCCTCCTCTGGTCCAAACTCCCCCAGGGCTCTCATGTTACCCAGAGTGAGGACCAAAGACTTCAGCAGCCAAGAGGCTTGGCATGGTGGGCCCTGTTCTTTCTCTGACCTCATCGTCACTCTCCTTCACTCTGCTCTGGTTTCATTGGCCACCTTGCTACTCTGTCTTCCCACCTCAAGGTCTTGCAGGTGTTGATAATTCTGCCAGGAACACCCTTCCTGCAGAAGTGTATGTCCTTCCTTCCTTCAACGCTCTGCTCAAACATTATCCCTCAGAGAGGCCAAGCTGACCACCACCTCTGCTGAGCCCCTTCCCTCTCTTCCAGCCTTTATATTTCCTATGGCACTTTTATCATATATATCACTTTTCCTATATATCACCTTTGATATGTATTATGTATCTACATGTTCCCAGGCTGGATTGTACATTCAATGAAAGCATGTGAATAAGTGCTCAATCTGCATCTTCTGGAACAGGGTCTGGGACACCGTAGATGCTCAATAAATATTTATGGAAGGAGGGCAAGGAGGGAGAGGGGAAAGAAGGAAGTTTTCTTTTATGATCCAGCAGACAGTGTCCACTCTCCTTCTTGCGGTCAGCTGAGACATCCTGGAGGAGAGCTCTAAGCAAACCCTCTCTTGCTCTTCCATCTCCTATAGCTCTTGCTCCCTGCTGAGGCGAGCACAAGTGCTGCAGCCTGGCTCATCCAGTCCTGCACAGACTGGGAGGAAGCAGCCTCCTGCCTCATCTCCTTCCTCTGCACGTACCTGTCCTCAAGTCATGTTCCTGGGGTCTTGGCTGAAGTTCAAAGCTCCCTCTAGCTGCCCTCTCTTGCCAGGGTCACAAGAGCCTGTGAAAATGGTGCTTGAATCCTAACTGCTCCATACTGGCCGTGTGACCTCGAAGCAGGCTGCTTCACACCTCTGTCCCTCTGGCTCCTCACATATCTAGTAAAGGAGATGAGGGTTCTCCTCATGGGGCTGTGATGGGGAGTGAAGGAGATATGGCTTGGGATCTTCTTGGCTTGGTGCCCAGCACCCTGTAACCCTCCCATGAGCTGGGAGGAATTAGGCAATGCTAGCATTAGCACAGAGTGAGCTGTGGCTGTGGCCTCACCTAGCACGTGCGAGGCCCTGGGTTCGATCCTCAGCACCACATAAAAATAAATAAATAAAAGTAAAGGTATTGTGTCCAACTACAACTAAACAATAAATATTAAAAAAATATTAGCACAGAGTTTGGCCTTGCTGGTGGCTAGAGCCACTTTACAGGTGAAACACTGAGGCGGGCTCAGGAAGTCTGTCCCAGACAACACAGCTGGGCAATCACAGATCCCACTTTTTCTCTGAACCCCCAAAATGCATAGGAAACAATTTAAAAGAATTGAGAATGAGTTACTCAAGAAGAGGACGTGCACATCCGACTAGCTAGAAGGGGCGTGGTGGCGTGGGGTCCATCAGCATCAGGTGACAGCAGCTTTCCCAGATTTCAGTACAGTTTGAGCATTTCTAATCCAAGAGTCCCAAACCTGAACTTTTCTGATGTGAATGTGATGACACAAGTGGAAAATTCCACACCTGACCTCATGTAACAGTTCACAGCAAAATACAGGTTCACTAAGAGTCCTGTGTAAAGTTACCTTCAGCATAAATGGCTTTTCATTCACATAAATGAATTTCATGTGTAGAAATGGGTCCCATCCCTAAGTTACCTCATTTTGTATATGCAAATATTCCAAAATCTCCCCCCCCTCAAAAAAAAAAAAAAATCAAAACCATGTCTGGTGCCCAGCATTTTGGAAAAGGGACAGTATGACCATTCTGGGCTGGATCCTCCCTGTGGATGATGTGGTTGGGGTGGGAAGAATCTTGTGTAGTGCAGGATGTTGTGAGCTCCATGCCTGGCCTCTTCCTGCTGGATGCTATGGGGAAGTCCCAGCTGTGACAACCAAAATGCTTCAGACATTGCCAAAAGTGCCCTGGGGTAGGGTCACCATATTTAGCAACACATACTAAAAACATATTCACTGTTTTTTTCTGAAATTCAAATTTAATGGGCCATCTGTATATTATCTGGTGACCCAACTTTGCGGGAAGGACAAAGCTACTGCCCTGGTTCATGAAGAAAGACTGGGTTGGAGTCAAACCATGGAGTTCCCCTGGAAACAGCAAGTACCCCCAGCCTTCCTGGCCTGCCTCCAGCCCCCCATCCTGGGCTGGAAGGATCGCTTCCCCAAACACACTCCGCTGTGCAGCTGTGCAGATGGCTCTGCAGTGACATGCCTCCCAACAGCCCCAGTTCACAGATGTAAAAGCACCTTCCCCTGTAGGCCCTGCCTCATCTCCCTGCCTCCTCCCTGGCTCTCATCTGCCACCCACAAGCCCCTGCCTTCTCCTTTCCAATTAAGAGGCCTCCCAGCCCAGCCAGAGGCAGGAAAACAAGGCAGTTAGTCACTTGGCTTCCGTTATCAACTGGCATCACATGGCTGCTTCCTTTAATGGCAGTTGTCGAGGCAACAGGAAGCCAGTCCCTGCTCACTCTGGGAAACAAAACAAAATTAAGGGGTGTCAGGGAGACAAGCTAGCCAGGTAGGAGCCATGACAAAGCTGGTGGGACTTAACCAGGGGAAATCATGCTGAGGCCACCTGACTCCAGCTTTGCCTTGGTGGCACATGGGGAAGAGAGACAAGCGATAACCCTGCCCTGGAAAAGCTCAGGTGAACACGGTGGCTGTTTTCACCTGGTTGATCCTGCCAGGTGAGTAATTTTCATTCCCACTGTGAATAAACCCAAACTCTGACACTGAAGATAGAGACAGGTGCTTATCTAAGATGGTCCAACTAAGGAGCCACCAATCTCAGCCCCTCTTCCTTCCCTCCATAATCCCAGAATCCCCCCCATTCTTTCCCCTTTGCTCTTAGACCACACACTCTGTTTCCTCTGCATCCTACACAGTTCTCCTTCCTCTCTGCTCCAGCTACTTCGCTTCCTTCAAATTCACCATGCACCATCCAGCAACAAAGCCTCTGGCACCTACAGTTCCCTGTGTGGAATGGATTTCCCTCTCCTCCAGCTACTTCACACCTCCACCTAAAAGGCCTACTCGGCTTTCATGTGTCTTCTTGTACATCACATCCTCACGGAAGCCGTCCCTGATGCCCTGGTCATCTCTCTCTCTCTCTCTCTCTCTCTCTCTCTCTGTTGGTGATAGAACCCAGGGTCTCCTGCATGCCAGGCAAGTGCTCTACCTCTAAGCTACACCACTATTTGCACCTGCCCCCCCTGCCCAATCTGATGCTTTGTTGGTGCCCAGTGCCTTCTGTAATGATCCTCATAATTATTCTTGAGAATCTTCCAGGGTCTGTCTCTTCCAGGAGAATGCCAGCCCCAGGAGGGCAGGGGTTGAGTCTGTCTGCTTCACTGCTGTGTTTATGAAACCAAGCTCATGTTGGACACACAATCCTCATTAAAAAAAAAAAAAAAAAAAATTTAAAAAGCCTCCAGGACTTGAACCCAGTTCTGGTTGAGCCCAATGTACCTTCTTGACCAGTTTCATTGGTCCTGGGTCCTGATGGTTTCTCAGGTCAGCACTGAACAGATTTTCCAGCCTCATAGACTGTGCCAGGCCCTTAGTGGCTGCAGAGGCTCAGCCCAAGCTTGCAAGCTACCCAGCTTATCTAGAGAAGCTGATAAGACACACCTTCCAAAAAGAAGGGTGAGGCTGTAACAGTCAGGGACATGTTAGGGACATGCTCCTCTGAACCCAAGAGGGAGAGGAAAGATGATTCGTCACTCGGATTTCTAAACAAGAGCTTTGATGTCCAACCCACTAAAGACTGGCTCTCTGACACTGGAAGAAATGTTCCTTGCCAAGGAGGTGAGCAATGGAAGGAAAGAATGGAGGAGGTTTGCTTTGGGGACACAGATTCATTCATTCATTCTTATTTACTTATTTTACCAATCTCTTAGGGGAACCCATACTCTAAAGAGAGCTCAAAGACAGCAAATTTGAACCAGTTCCCCTCCACTGGATCTGTGTCCTTGAAACATGGCTTACTCTCTCCAGGTCACAGGATTCCCATTTATACATTGCAAACTATGTCCCCCTCATATTCCAAGGTTGTGACACCATGTAGGTGTCGATGGAAGCATTTATGGTATGGGGGGTGGGTAAGAGCTTGGCTCTGATGTCAGACAGATCTCGGCGGTAAGTCCTGAATCTGCCCCTTCTTCGCTGGATGCTCTTGGGCAAGTTATTCCTCCCTTCGAGGCTCAGCTGATTGTGTGTGAAGTGGACTCAACCTACCTACCTCATTAGCCTATGGTATACTCAGAGCATGGCACGTACTGTCCACTAGTAAATGGAAACCCTTATTTCTAGAATGAGGGCCCCCAGCAATGCAGGATTTAGAAAGCACCACCAATTTGCAACTGTGATTCCAGATCTGGAGTTCAACAGATCTGGACAACCTAGTGAGTTTAGGCCCCTGCCCTCCCAGACACCAAGCAGGGTGAGGAGCGGTCCCTCTGAGCAGGAGCTGGCCTCAGCCTATAGCCACAGAGAAGGCTCATTCCAACTCCAAACCTGTATGACCCCAGGACAGAAGCCCAGATCTCTGGTCACTTGGGGCAATGCATGCCCCACAACCTGCCCTCTAAACCATGCTACGCTGACAAGGATTAGACTGGGACATCAGGACAAATGCCTCCTTCTGCATACAAGAAAGAGTCCTAGGGAAGGGAAGGGACTTGGGCAGGGTTCTGAGGGAGCTGGTGACAGATCTGGGACCAGAACCTGAGCCAGAGCCCTCCCAGATGCTTTGCTGACACTCTCTTGACTGCCATTTTTCAATTCTGCCCTCCTCAATTGGACCAACCTGGCATTTCCTTACAAACCAGGACTGAACAGAAAACCTCTGGGCTTTCTGAGGGATCCCAGATATCTTGCACATTTCCTTATTCAAAAACACTAGAATGTGCAATCAGCCCTGGAGCTGATTCTTAAAAAAAAAAAAAAGAAAAAAGAAAAAGAAAAATACACACCCAGCGCTTGTGTGCACAACCATGCTACCCCAAGCTGGGGACAGCAACAGGTCCCAGCCTCCAGGCTGCGGTAGAGGGCTGCCTGCCTTCTCATGGGGAGGGGCTCCTCAGTGGTGCTCAGTGCTGCCACCCCTAATAAACACACGCGTACATGTACACCCACCCCTAATAAACACACACGTACATGTACACCCACTCCAATGCACACACAAGGACCAGGCTGGCCCACAAGGTCTACAGCCATGCAAGATCTTGAGCTGGCACCTCACAAGATGCAAACATGGCTGCAAAGGGGTACCAGGCTAAGTGATGGGGGGCAGGTGGTGAAAAGAGGAGGGCAATACACACACCACACAAACACACACAATCACATCCTTATTATTTACTCATACTTAGCATCACACAGACTCACAAAAACAGTTCACACACACAGATACACATACATACAATGCCTAGAAATACGTTTGGACATCTTCAGACAGACGCACATACATGAGGTGGCTGGCTATGAATCCAGAGGCTGGGCTAACTTGGCCCAGGGCAGAGGGAGAACTGAGGCCTGTCTGTCAGTGAGGAGATAGGGATGAGGAGACCCTGCCTGCCAAGGGAGCAGTCCACAGACACTGACCTGGGACCATCATGGAGGGGCCTCCCAGCTCCTGGAAGTGGCTCCAAAAACTGGGAACATGGGGGTGCAGTTTGTTTTGTTTCCAAACTGAATCTCTCCCCTTTGCTGAAGGCTGGGCCCCTTTTGGCAGCCCGATTTATTATGGTCCCCTGCCCGAACAGGCCTGCCTGTCCCAGGGAGCTTGTCTCTCCTATATGATCTCCTCACTGAGACCTACACACCTGTTCCTCCATAGGACAGGGTCTCTCCAGGCACCTCAAGGTATGGCACCCACCCCTACACACAGCTCAAACACGCCAGAGGTACCCCCACACCTCCAGCCCTGCAACCCCCCAAACTCACAGGCCACACCTACAGGCCTGTGGCGGTAGATGCCACCCCGATGAGCCCGCCTCCAACGTTGGCGGCCCCCGCCACCAAGGAGCATCCCTCCAGGAGCCGCTGTCCCCCCACTCCCCAGGCGGCTGCGCCCTCCCGCAGGGGCGCCGGGCACCTACCTCCTTCTTCACGGTGCGCAGCAGCTTCTGCCGGGTCTCCGCCCCTGGGGGACAAGCCGGAGGGCGCGGGTGAGCACGCGGTGGGAGAGACCGGGGCTGTCCTCCCTCCCGCCTGCGCCCACCTTACCCGCGGGGGCCGCAGCCATGGCTCGCGCAGCGTCCTCTCGGCTCAGGTCCTGTCGCAGGCGGTGGCGGCAGCGACTCCGCGGCTAGGTGCGCTGCTGCAGCTGCGCGGGGCGGGGCGAACGCCAAAGACCGCCCACGTCGTGACGTCATGGCGATGCGGCCCCGCCCTCTGGAACACACCCTCCGAAAGGCCCCGAAGCCGGCTGGGGGGTGCGCGGAGCCAACCAGCCCTGGCCCGCCCCAGCCCGCCGCACGCCCAAAGCCACCGTCCACCTGCTGCATGAGAGGGCAAGCATCCTTCATGGAATGTCTGATGGGTGCTGGGCGCGAGCAAGTTGTGTAGAGATGGTGGGGCTGCCACTGCCATTTTCTGAGCCTGTATCTGCATTCTCTCTCTTTAAAAAAAATTTTTTTTTTCATTTTTTATTAACACATATAAAGAAAACTTTCATTGAATCAGGAGATATAATACAAATTATGGTGACCTTCAAATGAAACCTGGCTCCAAACATGGGCATTTGGGAATGTGCATATATAAAAATGTGCATTAATATCTGTACCAGAGCATGGTACAGAAGTTAACGGACAGCCCCAACATGAGTGATTTGCACAGGTGGGTCTGCTCTGTGGACTCGGGAAGTTATTGGTTCTCCAGCTTCAGGGGTGAGCACGACGTGAACATGGCCTGCTCTGAAAAGGAGCCAGAAGATCTTGTACTTGAAGATCTTGTGGGCTGGGGTTGTGGCTCAGAGGTGGAGCACTTGCATAGCATGCATGAGGCACTGGGTTCCATCCTCAGCATAAAAATAAAGGTATTGTGTCCACCTACAACCAAAATAAACAAACTTTTAATTAAAAAAAAGATCTTGTATTTGAACCCTCATGAACACTAAAATGTCAAAGTGTGGCAAAAGCCAAAAATGGTGCTGGGGGGGCTGGGGTCCTGGCTCAGTGGTAGAGCACTTGTCTAGCATGTGTGAGGCACTGGGTTTGATTCTCAGCACCGCATATAAATAAATAAAATAAAGATCCATTGATAATTAAACAATATTAAAAGAAATGGTGCTGGGAAGAGAGGCAGGAGAAAGGTCATTCTTATTTCCTAACAACTACAGTTTTAAGGAACTCTATATCAAGACTTAACATAATGATTGAAACGTGGCAGATGCTAAACTGCATTCTTAAAATGGGCAAAAATGGGGTTTGTATTCTGAAATAGGGTGGTCAATGGAGGTGGGCCCAGAGGTAGAGCAGTTTGAGTAAAAGAAACAGCAAGCACAAAGGCCCTGAGGTATGAGTGTGCCCTCTAGAGTGTGACAGAGAGTAGACCCACTGGCCTGGAGTGGCATGAGCAAGGGGAACCATAGTGGGATGTGCACAACAGGGCTGGTGGCCAAGATCCTCTTAGGGCCTGAAGGCTGCTTTCAGCATTCATGGGAGCCTAGAGATCTTGGAAATGGGATAAAACCAAGATAGGTCCAAAGGCCAGAAAGGGGGGACCCTTGAGAATATTCACCTGGCAAGGGCAGTGTAGTTGTGTGTTACCATTCAGGTAAACAGCACCGTCTCTTTAAGATCCACATTTTCTCACTTGGGACACTTGCCTATTAAGCTAGAAGAGGGGATCCCCACTGTCAGAGATGAAGTGCTGAGTCCACAGGAGACTGGATAATGGGAGATGCTTGCTTGACAGAAGAAAATAAATGATGCTATGGTTCTGACCTGCAGTGTCCCCCAAGCTCATGTGTGGAAAGGGTGGTCCCCAATGCAGCAAGGTTCAGAGATGGGGCTCTTAGGCAGGGATCAGATCATGAGGACTCTGACCTCACCACTGACTTAATCCACTTGATGGATTAATCCATTGATAAGTGGATGCCCTGCTGGGAGACGGATATAGTTGGAGGAAATAGGTCACTGGTCACCTGCCCTGGAAGGCTTTATCCTGTCCTTGGACACTTCCTCTTTCTCTCACTTTGCTTCCTGGCTGCCTTGAGTTGACCAGCTTGGCTTCACCTCACCCTTCCACCAGGCTGACCATGAACTGAATCCTCTGAAAATCATCAGACAAAATAAAACCTTCCTCCTCTAAGTTGTTTGTGTGGAGTATTTTGGTCACGGCTCCAAAAAGCTAACACAAATAATAATGGTAATAAGTATAAAATTACCATAGATTGAGGACCTGGTATGTTCTGGGCACTGTGCTGAGGTCCTTGGGCTTTGGTTGCATGACCCTATTGAGCCCACTCCCACTTGTCCTTATGACATAGATGAAGAAAACCAAGAAAGGGGTTTTCCAAGTACATACAGCGAGCAAGCAGCAGCTCAAATTCTGACCTCAGGCTCCAGTGGTGGATCTTGCTTAGCTGTACCCCTAAGTCAACTGGGGTACTTTAGAATAGAAGGATGCCTACGCCTTACTCTAGGAGCCACTTTTCACAACTCATGCTTTTCCTTTCGTGCCAAGCAGCGGCTCTTGAAAACTGGCTTGTGCTGGTCCTTCCTTGATATTCTAGAAATTTTCCTCCAAGATAAAGACCTGATGTGTTTCAGCTCTTCCACCATAGGAAGGTGGGGCATGAGTGGGGCCAGGGACTGCCAAGTTCTGAACTCAGAGCCAGTGCCTCCCACCACAGTTGGACCATACACTAGGAGTACACCATCACATAAGATCAACTTGGAAAGAATTTGGAAAATTTTCCTGGAGACCAAAGCCTTCCTCAGGATCTGAGAATCCCCTCACCTGATCCATGCTGCCCTCACATGGACTCATACCAGCATCACAGAGCAATGGTGCAGTAGCTTAACCACAAGAGGCCTCTGCTTCCTGCAGTGTCCCTTCAGCGCCCTCTACTGAGGAAGCCCACATCGTGCACCGTGTAAATGGGAAATGGTGTAAAAGCCAGGCTATGGTGGAGGAGCAAACACTGAAGGAAGGAAGGAAATAAGATCAGAGCCAACATTAATGAACTTGACAACAAAAAATAACAACACAAAGGATCAATGAAACAGTGTTTCTTTGAAAAGGTAAACAAGGTTGATAAGCCCCCATGCTAACATAACCAAGAGAAAAAGGGAGAAAAGCCAAGTTTATAAAATTAGAGATTAAAAAGGTAAAATCACCATAGATATCACAGAAATCCAGCAGATCATTAGAGACTATTTTGAAAACTTGTACTCCAATACATTGGAAAACATGGAAGAAATGAATACATATCTAGATAAATAGGATCTACCAAAACTGTATCAAGAGGAAAAAGGAAACCTAAACAAACCAATAACATGTAATAAGATGGAAGGCTTTTCATTATTGTCTCTAACAAAGAAAAACCCAGGGCTGGATGGACTCCCAGCTGAGGTCCACCAAAAACCTTTAAAGAAGAAGTGATGCCAAAATTCCTCAAATTACTCCATGAAATTTATAAAATTTATAAAGGCAGCATTGCACACATACCAAAACCAAATAAGGACACATCAAGGAAAAAACGTACACACCAACATCCCCAAAGAACTTAGATGCACAAATGTGGGATGTATGTTTTCTCTCATATGTGGGAGATAGAGAAGAAAAAGGGAAAGATAGGTGGGGTGGATCTCATGGAAATCAAAGAAAGAACAGTAGAGAAAAGGGACCAAGGGGTAGGAGGGCCAAGGTACTGTGGAGTGATATTGGCCAAAGTATATTGTTATATTGCATGCGTGGATGACTATGTAACATTTTGATCCTAACCACAAGCCTGGAGTGGGACAGCTGTTTAAACCATAGGTGTCAGGATTGACACAGAACTGCTGTTATTGGGAGTGCCAATCAGCCTACCCTTTAAGAAGAAATGATGGCCCAAAAGTATTTGTGTGATGAAATCCCAGGAGACACTAAAAGAAACACCAACATTAGTCTTTACCAAGCGGCAGCCTTCTGGGGCAGGCAACGTGGCTCTCTGAATTTAAATGTCCTGGTAGAAATGGGAAGAGAGAGAAGTCAAGCTAACTGAGAGTTGGAAATCCTCAAGGTAATGACCCAAAGAGCTGCTCCTAGGCACTACATCCCACCTCTCTTTTGGTAGCAATTATGAAGGTTTTATTTGTTCCTCACAGAAATTATAAAATAGGTAGGGAATAAACATCTTAGTATATTCTGATGTGACCAAGGAGACCTGATGGGTATTTAGAAAGCCAGCTTCATGTATCATTGTACAACAAATCACCACTCTTACAAAACTGCCAGACAGTCCAGTCCAGGAACATACCTCTCCTTGTCCCCTCTAATCCAGAGGGGTGCGTTGTCAGTTCCACGGGGTAGCCAGCAACCTCCACGTCTCAATGGCTACGAGAACAAGCTTCATGACTTTGCAGGTGGGTTTTGACTTTCCCTTGGTCTTGGCTAACCTTGGTCCAGGCTTTCGGTTGGGTTTAGATTCCCCGCTGTGGGTCTCCTTTCAGGATCCAACAGGGCCATGTTCTTCTCATGGCAAATGACAGAACCACAAAAGGAAGAGCATGGCATGGAAGGCCAGGTCTGGCACATGCTCATATCAAGTCCTCCACCATATTCTATTGGTCTGAGCAGTCTGAAGGCCATGACTTAAATCAGTAAGGTGGAGATGTACCCTCTGTCTGTTCTTTTGGGAGACACCTCAGTGTCACATGGTTCAGAAAGAAACAGTAGAACTGGGCTGGGGATGTGGCTCAAGCGGTAGCGCGCTCGCCTGGCATGCGTGCGGCCTGGGTTCGATCCTCAGCACCACATACAAATAAAGATGTTGTGTCCGCCGAAAACTAAAAAATAAATATTTAAAAAAAGAAACACTAGAACAATAGTTCTATCCATCCCAAATGACTGACATCCTGCTGCTGCTCTCTCTGCAATACAACACTATTGCATGTGGTTGTCGCTGGAACCTGCCTGGGCCTATGCTTCTCAGCTTACATGGGGCTACATTGTAATAAACCCATCAGAAAATACTGACAGTCAAACATGTACACAGTGCAGGGACCTACCACACACCCTTGCTCAACAGCACTGTCGCAGGTCACAGCCCACTGTAGAGGGTTGATGGTTTCCCCTCAGGATCCCG